GGAGAAACTGGAACCTTCGTACATGGCTGGAGGGAATGTAAAATGGTTCAGCCACCGTGGAAAATGGTTGGGCAGTTCCTCTTAAAGTTAAACATAGAAATATCATATAACAGCAATTTCACTCCTAGGTCTGTATCTAAGAGTTGAAAACAGGTGCTTAAACATATGTATGTATGTGCATATCCATAGCAGCACAGTTCACAATAGCCAAAGGTGGAAATAGCCTCTGTGGTCTGAACATGTGTGTCTTCCCAGAATTCATGTGTTAAAATCCCACCCCCAGAGATGATGGTATTAGGAGGTGGGGCCTTCGGGAGGCGCTTATGTCATGAGGGCGGTTGCTAAAGAGAACTGGCAGTCACAATGTCTGTGCCCTGTCTCCTGGAACCCCCTCCGCTCTTTCCTGCCCCTCCTCTCTGCACCTCTCCTTCCGCCTTTGACCTTTCCATTTCCTGATCTTTGTGAACATTCCAAGCTTAGTTCCAAGCATGGTATAGAGTAAGGCTTTAACTGACCCATCCATGTTCATTGGTAGAGAAAGTCACATTGAAACGGATGCTCTGACCTTGAGAATTCACCTTGTCCATCCTCCTGCCCGTGGGAAGTGATAATCTTTCCGGTGCAGCTAAGTAGAACCTCTCCTGCTTTCATGGTCTCAGGGACATTGAATAAGTGAATAAATTTGATTCTGTCAGTTGGTTTCCAGCTGGGAGTCACCACATCCCCCAAGGCTATTATTCTAAAAGAATATAATAAAAACAGGACAATTGACTCATGCTAGTTGCCCCTAATGGAGAGGAACAGAGACATGGACGTCTGAAGGCGATAGCTAAATCAAGATGGGGCCCAGCGTCAGGTGGATTGTCATCAGAAACCTGGGTACTCTCGCATAGACACGCGCTCATCCGCTCAAGTGGATGGCCCAAGTCTATGGAAGGTACTCAAAATACTTAACAACTGGTACAATCAGGCACTAACCCATCACAGTAGGTGTCAGCTACAGACAACCAGGACAGCTATACTAGTCCCTACCAGGTGGACACCATCCTGCTCACGTCTGTGTTCACAGTCACTGGCACACAGACGTGCACCCCCACATGGCCTCTGACACGTGTGGGAGCACGTCTGTCAGCTGGCTAGCAGAACTCACAGTTCATACCACGAGCCCCAACCTCAGAGGGACCTGTTAGATAACTTTAGGCTGGAGGGATGTGCACAGCACCTGGGCGATAGGGTTGTGTGCAGAAAGCTGCAGCTGACCCAGGCAGGGCTGAGGGGAGGTCTCTTAGCAGAGAGGTGTCTTGGTTTGTCTTTTTAAAGATATCTTTAATGAAATTTTTTTTATTGAAGTGTAGTTGATTTACAATGTTGGTTTCAGGTGTATAGCAAAGTGATTCAGTTATACCTATACATACATACATATTTTTTTAGATTCTTTTCCATTATATGTTATTACAATAAATTGAATATAGTTCCCTGTGTTATACAGCAGGTCCTTGTTGCTTATCTATTTCATATATAGTAATGTGTATCTGCTAATCTCCAATGCCTAATTTATCCCTCCCCACCTTTCCCCTTTGGCAACCATGGTTTGTTTTCTATGTCCATGAGTCTGTTTTTGGTTTGTAAACAGAATTTGTATCATTTTTTAAAGATTCCACATATAAATGAGATCATATGATATTTGTCTTTCTCGGTCAGACTTCATTCAGCATGATAACCTCTAGGTCTATCCATGTTGCTGCAAATGGCATTATTTCATTCTTTTTTATGGCTGAGTAATATTCCATTGAATGTATATATCACACCTTCTTTATCCATTCATCTATCAATGGACATTTAGGTTGCTTCCATGCCATGGCTATTGT